TGTTTATCATGTTAACAAATGTAGGAAAAAGCTACTGATTTAAGTTGTAGCAACTGTGATTTAAGTTATATAAGGAAGAATTTCTGCATGATGCTAGAGTAACTTATTATAGGATCCAAAGAAAGAATATAAAGTCTTCTTCTCTGAGGGTCTTTAAAACTAGAATGAGTTCTCAACAGGTTGCCTGAAGGGAGGAAATTTGACTTAATGATTTTCATCCCTGGGATAATAAAATTTTTCAGAAAGTAGATATGCTATGTTAGTGACATATGCTATGTAAAACTATCAAATCGATCTTGACATTGTTGCACCTTGAATTGAAAGTCAACTGTTGCACCCTGAATTTAAATAGTCTTTTCAGACATTTGCAAAATTTGAAGATACTTTATGTTCTCATCTTAAATCTTATCTTCTTCCTCCAATAGTTCTTTGAAAAATGAGTTCCAAAAAGGTTGGTTCCAAAATGACATGCCTTTGGAATTGTATTTGTTTGTGTCTTTGGACTTGAGTTGGAGCAAATGAAGAATTAATGTGGGGTAGGAGACAATAGCATTGAAATAGAAGTCAAGAGTTTGATTCTTGACCTACCTTTCCTATGTATGGGCTCCATTATTTTCCCTCACCTAACTTGAAAGAAGTCACTTCCTCATTGGTAAAATAAGGGTGTTGGATTAGATACTTTGCAACATAATACCTTCAAATTAAAAAAAATAATCCTATGCTTCTATAAAAGTCAGAATGCTGGCATAAAATTCTCAGAAGCAATGGAAAGTAAAGAAAGAAAACAAATATTAGCAAAGACATTGTGGACAAATGAGACAAGCTGCTCCTCTCCAAAAATACCTTCTCCTTTTTTCTTTCATATTACACACCATATGCCACGGTGCCCTGACTTTTACTGCAATCCATTATATTCAATTCAGCAAATATTGTTTGAGCAATAATATGTACAATACTCAAGGCTCAGCTCACTATTCCACTATGGATTCAGGCCTTTTTAAGTAACATGAGTTTAGAATTTGACTGTCTCTGCAGGGAATATACAAAGAAAGATGTGTGTCCTTGTTTATATTTTAGTCAGGGATGATCAATACTTAATGGAGTGGGTCAACAAAAAACTTAAAAAGAAAACAAAGAATAAGATCAAATGTATTAGAGAAGAGAACATCAAAGAAGAAATCAGAAGAGAAGTGGACAAAAATAGATTTGACACTTTTTCATCAGCAAAGACTTGTGTCCTGCCACACTGGACAGAAATTTTCCAACAATGAGCTAACACCTTTGGCTCCTATTTAAAAGATTTGTTTGAATTTTACTAAAGTACCCCAGGTGTTTGGATCTGCAGGACACTTGTGGAGTTCTGGTCTACTGTCCCCTCTTTTTTTTTAAACTGCTGCCTTTTAAGAAACTTCTCGGAAAGTGTGATCTTGCTTATTATGAAATCAATGGACTGTATAGTTCTCTTTGTGTTCTGTTCGGCCATCAAAGCCTTAGGCTTTGGTTTCCATGTGGAGTTAATTTTACTTCTGCTCCCACAAAGCTAAGGAAGCATGGATTTGTTTGTGGACGAAATGCTATCATCTATTTGTTTTAGGTTTCAGAAAATGCATATATAAAACATCACTACAGAACATAATTATTTTAATGTGGACCAATGTTTAAGTAGTTATTTAAATATGTAAGATAGAGACAATTCATGATTTTATCTTTGGTACTTCTGTTGTATCTCTTCCTTGTATCTTTCTTAACCTCTTCATCCTGATTTCTCGTCTCAGGCATCCAACTTGCTCATTCTCACTATTCCTCATAGGCCTCAAATGTGCTGTCAAGATGAAAATTTCATATCAGCTCCTTACAGCTTAGTATGAATTTAAGTCAATGGATTCCCTCTTCTAGGGGTATTTGCATTGTAAACCTGAGAGTAGAGGGAAAATCCTCCCTAATGCAACATCAGCAGGAATCTTTCCAACATCTTTAAAACATCAGAAACTGTCACTTGCTTGGCCTTAAACTTGAATAGACCTGCAGCTGGGCATTTATTAGCACTAATTACTCCTTGCCTTCTAGTTAAATTGAGTTCAGTGACTCAAGTAAACAGATATGTAGGTCCCAGCCCCCAAATTCTAACAATATTTGAGTCACATATTCATTTGCAAAGTTAGAGCCACTTTTCTTTTCCTTGTTTGTCATTTATTCCTATTACTTAATTTATCTTATCTCTGCCTGCCTTGTTAGACTGGAGCCCTTCCAGGGCAGGGACTGTATCTTACTCAGTTCTGGATCTCCAGGTCCAGCACAGTGTCTGGCTCATTGAAAATCCTTCCAGGCAAATAATTAGATTCCTGTAACTCAAATCTGCCAAGAGCTGTGTTTCTGTAAAATGACATGCCCAGTTCTCCTACACCAAGGATCTTTCCTCTGATTTCATAGAACACCCACGATGAGGGAAAAATCTAAACCAGCCTGTGACAGGACAAACTCTACCCAATCCAAAACAATTGTCAGGGTGTTTCAGAGCTTATAATATGCTAAACTGGGAATGAGAGAAGAATTGCCTCTGGATCTAGGTCTAGGGAACATTATATTCTTCATGGTTCTATAATGGAAAGGCCTTCATAGAACAGAAGGGAAAAAACTTGGTTTTATTTCAGCAGTGCACGATGCCAGGTATTTACTAGAGGAAATGCCACCCAAGGCCCAGGGGGTTAGCTGGAGCCACTGATACCCTGTGCTGCTTTTTATAACTCTCCTCCCTAGCACCACGCTCCACATATGTCCCATTTCATCAGGTCACATCAACTTAGGTTGTGCCCAATACTACATCTAACACCAAACACTTCACCATGTGAAATATTCTGTGTTTCCATAAAATGTTTATCTTATTTATTTTTTATTTTATTATGTTATGTTAATCACCATACATTACATCATTAGTTTTTGATGTAGTGTTCCATGATTCATTGTTTGTGTATAACACCCAGTGCTCCACGCAGTACGTGCCCTCTTTAATACCCATCACCAGGCTAACCCATCCCCCCACCCCCCTCCCCTCTAGAACCCTCAGTTTGTTTCCCGGAGTCCATAGTCTCTCATGGTTCGTCTCCTCCTCCGATTTCCAACCCCCTTCATTTTTCCCTTCCTGCTATCTTCTTCTTCTTCTTCTTCTTTTTTTTAACATATAATGTATTATTTGTTTCAGAGGTACAGGTCTGTGATTCAACAGTCTTACACAATTCACAGCGCTCACCATAGCACATACCCTCCCCAATGTCCATCACCCAGCCACCCCATCCCTCCCACGCCCCACCACTCCAGCAACCCTCAGTTTGTTTCCTGAGATTAAGAATTCCTCATATCTTAAATGTTTATAAAAATAAAAATAAAAGTAAAGTTCCTTAAAAATCAAGTGGAGGAAGTTTCCTTGTTTTTGTGTAAGCAATGACTTTGCCAATTTTTACAAATGAGCAGCCTCTTTCATTCCACAAGACATTCGGTCTGTCAGCCATCAGCAAACTGTGAAATTACTAGTTTAAGAATGGAATACACGGTACAGACCTAAATTGTATAGAGAGTTGTGAAATGAGGTTTTGATGGTGGTGACTCTACAGACTTTTGAAAATTATTTGCAAGGATACAAGCTGTCCATTTTCTTTTGTAATAAGATTGGAGAGGAAGGGGAACTTCTACAAAGGATCTTTAAAATGTCAGTATTTGTTTAATGTATTAAATATCGCTCATATACAGGACATCATCTTGGATCTTTGGGAGGAGTTACAGAAGGTGCAAAATCCAAATGTCTTGGCTTTAAAGAGCTTACTATTTAGAAAGAACATTAACTTTAAAATACAGACAGCTGTCATCTCATTTATTGAGCACATATGTTGTGTCAGGTACTGTGGCAAGTATTTTTATATACGCTGTATCAGAGATTGGCAAATTATGGCCAAAGAGCCAAATCTAATTCACTCTCTATTTTTATAAATAACATGTTACTGAAGCACGGAACACTCAGTTGTCTGAGTATTGTCTATGGCTGCTTTTGTGCTACAATGGTAGAGTTGAGTAGTTGTGACAGAGTTGAGACAGTCTGGCCTACACAGCTGAAGTACCTACTGTCTGGACCTTTACAGAAAATATTTACTGATCTCTATATCATTCATTCTCACAAGAATACTTAGAGATAAATATAGTGTTTCCCATTTTACAGTTAGGTAACTGAGGGTTATAGGTGATGCAACTTAGTGGCAAAGTTTGGATTTGATTCTAGATTGTGTGATTCCAAAGATCCATGTTCTTATGCTAAATTCATATACAGAAATAGCCAAAATATGAGGTAGGAAGAAATAAGAGCCTCACAGAGTCACAGAGGAACTAGAGTTCAGAAAAGAAAGATACGATTTTGAGGTTGGGGTGATAAAGATTCTGGAGAAGATCACATTTGAATGTAAAAGCAAAAATGGATCTCAAGATTTGTCACTCACAAGCTCAAGCCCAGGAAAAGTTAAGAGATCAAGGTTACCAGGTTTCGTTAGAAGCAGATCTGAGCTTAGAACCAGTTTTTCACTCACCCAGCCCAAAGTATACTGTCAATGACCATGCTGAGCCATTCAATGTTTTTGTATGTGTGGTTACATGTTATAGAATGGCAAAATTATGTGAAATGGAGAATTTTACATTATGCTCAATGACTAATTGAACTAAAGGCCTGTACTTCTTTTATTGAAGCAATCAAAAATACATGTATGTAGGTATTTACATGATATTCACCCCCCATCTTACCAAATACATATACATATTTTTTCCAAATATATTTTTTTTGTGGAGAATCACACTTCTGAGACCGTGGGAACCTCTGCCATTCTCACCAATTTTAAGATTCGAATGATAACCAAGAGACCACAAAAGTCAAATATTTATATACATCTTACCCTTCAGAATCAGGCAGAGCCAGGCCAGGAGAAAAATGGTGACGTAAACAGGTACAGCCGAAAGAAGCTTACCTGATACTGTAGAGTACTTTGCCATTTTTTGAAATTCGAAGCAATTTGTTGTCAGTGGTGACATCATGGAAGTTGGCACCCTTCTCATTGGCAAAGAATAAATCTGGTTTCCAAATGGAGTCCAGCATGGATGGGTCCAAGTCCAGGGAATCGTCAGGGTACTCGCTATATGCCAACCGTGAATCATTCCACTGTTGTCTCAGAAAAATGTTCACTCGGTAGTCCTATAGAAACCCCATGCATAAAAGTTACTTATCATGCAGTCTGGCATAAGAGGTCCATCTACATTTCCCATCACTCTTCTCCCTGATTTGGTGCAGTATTAGTGTCTGAACCAGGCTATATATATCTTGGTCAAAATAAACCACTCTGTTCTATTAGAAGTGGGAACAGAGGGAAGAAAGAAAGAAGCCTCAACCAAACCAGAACACTAATGGAACACATTGAGTTGGTTGAATTTTTTTTATGCTTAAATTTAAATCATTCATCCTGGGAGGAAATAATACTAACTCAAGCTGATTTTTCCATAGAAAAAGGTAACCATGAGTACAGAAGTCAGACTGTGATGGTAGATTGTCAAAACTGATTCATTTTCCAAATCAGAAATAACATGATCTCTATTCTCATACTGCTCAGATGCTCTGGGCAGAAGGAAACCCATTCTGTAATTTTGGTCATGGAAATCTTATTATAAAATATGACATGATGGGGCAGTATTTTTTAAATTCATCTACATAAGTATTCATCTTGACAAGATAATTCCCTCACACTACTTACTTTTCAAATTCTTAAATATTTTATCATTTCTCTGAATGGGTTGTATTTATAGTAGTTGACGTGATACTTCATCAATACAGAGATCTTTTTCATGTTTTCTTAATCTGAGCACCTTCTGACAAAGGTGTTCCTCCCTATGGGAGACTCAGGTACATCCTGTCATTCCCACTTGATCTGGGAATTTACTTCTTTGCCAGTGAATCAGCCTGGGGCAGTGACTTCTCTTCTGGGAATTTCTACTCAAAGGACTTTAGGTTCATGGAAACTGTTGCTTTCCTTGGTAGAGTGGACCCCAAAAGAGGCTTTAACAGTATTCCCTAGTCAAGTGGGACTATAGTTCAGAACTAATAGTTGTTCACTCCTGACACTTATGGTCATTTAGAGTGATACATACTCATACCTTCTTACTCTCCTTTTTCACCATTTGCTCCATCCCCACATCTTTTTCACCTGGATTTTTGGTCATTGTTTATTTTACTCTAATGGTGACCAACTTGCCCTGGTTTACCTGAGAACTTTTAGCCCCCAAAGTCACACATTCAGGGGACCCACTCACTTCTAGACAAAACCAGGATGGTTGGTTACTTTACTAGGTACAGTGGAGACACCTCAGGGTGGTCAGTTTTGGTTCATTCCCTTGGGGCCAAAAGAAAAAAATAACTAAGTTATAAAGATTAGGGTATATGGAAAAGAGCTTCAATCCAGTTCCTTCTACCTATTACTAAACTAATCCAAATTCCTAGGACATTTTTTTTCAAATACAGCCATCCTGATTTATCAGGCTGATAGAGTATTTTGGAGATGGCAGTTCTTGGAAATAGTGCCCAATGTAGACTTAAAGAATATAAATAATCAAATAGTTACTAACTTCTGAAAATCAGTCATCAAACCCCAGCTCATTTGGAAAGGTTGATATTAAAAGAAATAACCTCAAGTTTCTCTGTTGTACAGCATAAGAATTTTCTGACTTGGAAGATTTATCAGCTGACTTTTATTTGGGATTTTACCAGGCATGAGTGGCAAATTTTCAAACCTAAGAGGGCACTGTTGTGGGCCCAGTCAGGCTTCCATCCCATCCTGTTTGCTCACTGACTCCTTCAGTGAGTGAATCAAGGGAATAGCAGAACCTCAAAGTTGTTCCCATCATATAGTTTTGGAATTGTTCAAAGGGACCAGAGGATTGTAAGTGGAAAGAGATTACCGGTTCAGTGTTTTATTGACAACAGGAGTTACTGGAAGCTTTGGAATTGTGTATGAATAAAGAGTGAGGATGTGTGATATGTAGAAAATCAAAAAAGGGGGCTATTGAAAATACAATAATCCAGTTTACATATAAGTATGAACTAGATACATGAACTGTGAGCTTTCCTTAAGGTTTTCTGAGAGAAAAATGCAGTTTCTCCAGTGTTTGACATCCACCCCTGTTATATCCCTTTGAGTAAAAGCCAGTTTTCCTTAACAAGATGTTGTGTGTGGGGTGAGGGGTGGTCTATGAGCTTGTTTCAGTAGGAAGTAGGAGAAAAGAGAATTTCAGAGAATTTCATCCCTTAGATAACTCTGGAGGCAGAGAAACTCTAAGTATGAGAAGTAATGACAGCTAGAAATAATAGAGGTGAATGTGTTAAATATCTTAGGCCATTGGGAAGCCAACTAGGCTCCCGCCCCTGTCTAGGAAGCAGTTGTAGGGTGGGAAAGGCCAGAGAAGTCAGACAGACAGTACTGGGCAGCGAAATCACTAAGAGAACATCACTGCAATCCTCCCTTGAGCCTGAGAATGATTTAAAGCTGTATATTGAAAGACTCCAGAAAATATTACATGATGACATACAATATGAAAACATTGACCTTTAAAAAAAATCAATATAAATTTTCACAACTCATGTACATCTTTTTTTAAAAAGTCTTTCCCATGAGCATTCTTCTCCAGTGTTTCCTGGTTTCCTACTTTGAATTTTATATCTAGAAAATGATAAAATAGATTCTCCCAATATTAGAACTTTAAAAAGAATACTGAATCTATCATATCGCAATTAGAACCATTAAATGTCTAACAGTTATTTTAAAATAAGTGAATCCCATTTGTAAGCAAGGATAAGTAGAAAACTTAGAGAAAAAAATATAGTTTATGCCACAATGACAGGAATTATATGAAATACAACTTCTGTTAGATCTTTTGGAGATATCCTTTATATAAATGTATAGGAATTATAATTTTCCATACCTTTGTTTATGATGATACACACTATTCTAAAATAAATAGCAACTCTTAAAACACTTTAGAAAATGACACCTAACGAACTAGAGACATAGACATCCAAGGAAAAGATTTTCTGGGGCTGGACCTCTGTAATTCTCTCAGTTCACTATGATTTTCAATGTAGGATAAAAATTTGACACGTGATTTCTCTGCACATCATCTCTGTTTATTTAGAGATAAGTTTATTTCCTCATGATATTCCAAACCACAGGAGATAGTTATATTCTTCTGTAGTTTTTCTTTGTCTTTGTGTTTGCTTCTAGGTTTAATAAAATATTAAAGGCGGAGTAAATATTGAGAGACATGCTTAAATGCAGGCTGAATTTTCTTTTACACTGCCTTCTCTCTACAAAGACATATTCTACTTCAAATAGATGTCATATTTCCTTGTATTACAATTTGTTTTCCTATGATTGACTCTCTGGGTATTAGATTAGGTCATGGAAACATTTGAATTTTTATATATATATATATATATATGTATGCAAATACATATGTATTTTTTCAAATACTGTGTGTAAGTCGTATAATCTTTATTATATTCTTAACACAGGTACTACAAGTACGTACATTCCATACTATTATTTTACATCGAGTTTATTATTTCTAAAGTTTCACTTTTCCTAATACCTTCTAATGCTATGCCCATGCCACAGATCATTTCCTTAAATTGAATTATTTTGGTACTATTGTATTTGGTCTAGCATTTATGCACAGAGATTGCCACTCTGTCTCATACATACTCATACTAAATCTTACTGTTACTCTCTTATTATTTTTATATGTATACATTTCTCAATCCAATTATGTTGTAAAGTTATCAACCACAAGGATATGCTTTGTTGATTCCCCACAGTGCCAATGTGGCCCTTTGGTTTTAACTTCTGGCTATACTGCAGTAAAGTTTCATCCTCCTGAATCTGTGCTAGCTTTGATATGGGAAGTTAGCCTTGAATTTGGAATTATGGGGAGGGGTGCAGTTGTTTTATGATGAATTCAGGCTTTAACATTGCACTGTTAATTTAGAGACTAAGGTCACCTTCTATCTCCTCAGTTTAACAAAATGCCAGGCTTGGGGTACACCCTTGGTTCTTCCTTAAGAAGTCAGAAATAAGAAATGTCGCTACCTGCTATTCCTCATGAATTGCTGATGCAGCTATAGAATGAAAGGGAGCCCATAATGTTAGTTCAGCAGTGCCAGCCCAGCAGGCATCCTCCTAAGGGGCTGTCTACCTCTTATCCACTTCCTCAGAATGTGATTTCAGATCAGAGATAAAACACCCTGCAGCAGTAACCCGCAGAGCATATGGAACTTATCTTTTGGGGAAAAGCTTGGGGGAGCTGGAATCATATTGTGGAGATACGCTCTGAGGGAACACATTTTATGCATTTTCAGCTCTTTCTCCCCCACCTCAAATCTGTTAAATGAGGAGGGAGTCAGGATCTGCTACTGTGGCATGGGGAGTGTTCCAGCACCCACAGGTCCAAGTCACATTCTATCTACCCACATCCTTTGAGACTATCTCTTCTTCACTTTCTGATGGCCCAGCCTTGGGGAGAGCTGTATGCAGATGGTATGCAAATACTCTTGACCTTTACTGACATTATAATATTCCCAAAGTATGTCTTTATATCAGGAAAGTGGAAGTTGTAATACACTCCCCATCCTCTAAATTCACTTGCCATCAGCAGCTAAAGAAAAGGGGGAAAGATAGAAAAAGAAATGGTAAACTGACATTCTCCAGACAAAATATAAACTGTTTCACCATACATCCCTTACTAGTCTCCTAAGTCGTTTGGAATCACAAAAAGATTATTCTGTTGAAATCTCTTAATACAGGGTCAACTAGCAGTGACCATCAACAGATCCTCGTGACTCTTCATGAAGAAAAGTGTGTATTTTAGGGGAGTCTGCGTGGCCCAGTTGGTTAAGCATCTGACTCTTGATCTCAGCTCAGGTCTTGATCCCAGGGTTGTGAGTTCAAGCCCCAGGTTGGGCTCCACGCCCTCCACGCCAGGCATGGAGCCTACTTTTAAAAAAAGTGTGTATTTTGGAATAATGTATATCGTCATAATGATTCATAAAAATTTTCCTTAGAATAACACAAATATATTGTCTTCCGATCACATATATTCAACACTAACCCATGAGAGGAGTGAGAGGCAGTATTGGGTCTGTAAGTGAGCCTATACTTTGTGGGCAGGTAGTACCAACAATAATTTAGTGAGATAATATCAAACATAAGAGGGGCAAACTCGATAGCACCAGAAGGAAGACATCCTGAGTTCTTAAAATGGATAGTCATTGCCTCTTATTTAAAAACAAATACCCGAACTGGATCCTTCAATAATGCTATCAGGGTTGTAGAGTGAGAATGGAGCATGAGGGAAGAGGAGAAAATCAACCTGTTTAGAAACTCAAAATTCTGAGGCATTCTTGGAAAAATTCATTCCAGAACACAGAGAGAAAGCAAAATTATTATTGCTCCCCAATAGCACTGAGCCATGTCCTCAGTGACCACATACATTACCGTGCAGAAAAACTAAGGGTCTGATGTTCTGACTTCAATTAAAGACAGTTCAGAGAAAAATCTGTTTCTGTTTAACTTTTTTGACCAATTTTCTTTCAGTCAGAATTTGTGAAAATATGGGTCAATTCACGAGTGGTGGAATCTCAAGGTGTGGTTAAGGGAAGTTTGGGCTGCGATGATATTCTGTAACTCAGAGGGTGGATTCCCAGGCAGGGCCCCACGGGTCTAGCAAGATAGACCCTTTCAAGGTGGAGCAACTCTCATATTCTTTTGAGCATCCGCTTAACATCTACTTAAATACGGATGCCTCAGATCCAGGGTTGGCAATCTATGGCCTGCTTTTTGGAGTACAGCCACACCCATTTGTTTACTATTGTTTATGGTTGTTTTCCTGCCCAAAGGGCAGAATTGAGTGTGGTAGAGATTGGCAGGCCTTCAAAGTCTTAAGTATTTACTGTCTGGCCTTTTACAGAAAAAATGTTGGCCAGTCCCTACCCTACATGGCATGAGGATTTATTAAGCATGATAGAGCTTCCAAAAATATTTATTTTAGTTTCACACACAAGCTTTAACTGAAGAAAAGAAAAGATCCTTTTTAAAAGCCAAATGAAGGTTGTCATTCCATCAAAAGCTAAGAAATAAAAGAATCACAATATTCATCCCTCTTCTGACCATGCGATTCAGTCTATCTCAAAAGGCAAGATAGGCAGACTGTTCATTTTACACTTGAGCAGTGATTTCCGAGTTTTCTCATAGGAAACATGACAAAGGACACCTTAATAAGTGGCCAGGAAGCACCTAAGCAGACCATTTATTAAACACCTTCAGTAGCTATTAAAGACACAGGAAAACAAGGACATCCAGAGTTTCCATTTTCATCTCCGTGAGTGTTCAGCTTTTTCTCGCATTAATAAACATTGAAAAGGTGCACATTTACATTTTTGATTGAGGGTATATGCAATGGGGAGATTTAATCAAAGCAACGTAAGAGTCTAATTAATGCAATCAGCATTAGGTCGTGCAAGTATCGTCATTGAACGCCATGGTGTAAAGCTGGTACAGTGATTTGGGCTGCTGGAAGATTTGCCCCTCTGTTCTCAGGATAAAACCTAGAGGGGAGAGACAGAAACTGAATGCCAAGCCCGGAGCTGGATTAGTCTTTCTATGTTTACCTTGTCTTGTGAGGCATTTAATAACCCTATCAAAACTATCTTATTCGAGGGGCGCCTGGGTGGCTCAGTCGTTAAGCATCTGCCTTCGGCTTGGGTCATGATCCCAGGGTCCTGGGATCGAGCCCCGCATCGGGCTCCCTGCTGGGCGGGAAGCCTGCTTCTCCCTCTCCCACTCCCCCTGGTTGTGTTCCTTCTCTCGCTGTCTCTCTCTCTCTGTCAAATAAATAAATAAAATCTTTAAGAAAAAAAACCTATCTTATTTGAGTAAAATTCTTAATTCACTACATACTGTCCAAGCACCAGAAGTCTCATTTCTGGACAATGCTGTGTCAGTAATATTAAAACGGGTAGTAGAGTTGCATTATGTCTAATTTTGCCAGTGAAAAGGAATGGTAAAAGGTAAATAACTTTTTTTTTAGCTCAAGGACACCAAAAAGTACAGTAATTTGTTAAACACAATCTTAGTAGCCTAAAAGAGAAAATTTATAAAGACAAGGGAACACTATTTTTTACTTCTCGATGGCATTATGCTCATCATTTCACTTGAGTGTTTCTAGGACATCAGCCACCATAGTACTCAGTCAAGCTCAACTATATTTTATTTTGACTTCATCCAATAATATGACTCTATACTTTACATAATCATGAAAATTAGCCAATTGATTTAAGACTTAAAATAAATAGTATGAGGACCAAGAAGAAATTTCACCCAAAAGTCAGTCTCCACACTATTGCCTAGTACTGTAAGGCTATAGATCTAATAGGCTATATTACAGGCAACACCATCACCATGACATTTAGAAGGAATGTTGGTGGATTTTATAGTATCTGAAGTCTTTTTCATGCAAACGTGCAAATGAGACATGTTTGCACATACATTATGATGAGCTTATAATTAGTTTTATGTTTATTGGGGTTTTGGGGGGGCGAGGGAGCCATGCATGTGATGTAATTGCTATGGACTTGGGACTACTTTCTTTTGCCAACAAGATGTGTGTGTGTGCGTGTGTGTGTGTTTATTGTAAGGTCAGCCCCTTTGGCATATATCTTAAATGTAACATATCTGAGGCTTGACTGTGTTAAAACTTCCATTATATGAAAAAGACTGGCTATAAAATATATCTCCTGAACTTTGAAATTTATATTTCTGAAACATTAGAGATACAAATATTTAAATATCCTTAACATTACACTGTGTTTATTACTGATAATTCTACCTAAATCCAACGAAACAGCAAGTGTTTCCAAAATTTCTTTGGCATGATGGATAAAATATTACTGAATTTGAAGTAATGAACATTTGACTAATGACTTTCTAAAGTGAAAGTGTATAAATAATCACTTTCTAGAGGTAAATGAACATGGAAATTGGCATTCAGTAAGTGTCCCACAATATGAAACAGTGCTTCTTCGATCCCATATCCCATTCCTTCACACGATGGCTTCAATGCTCAGCCCCACTCACCATTGTAGTTTCTGCTATTGACCCAAAGCTGTTGATAAATATGTTGCAGGTAACATTTACAGGAGGCCCTGCAAGTTGAACAATAAATAGAAAATTTGACAGGTTGTGTTCATGGCATAATCAAGTCATGTTTTTCTCTTGCCAGTGGCATTGTAGCACTTACCATGGTGGTTTCTGTGACTGATCCAAAACTGTTGATAAAAATATTGCAAGTAACGTTTACTGGAGGACCTGCAGAATGCAATAAGAATATTGCAATAGACATTGAAGCAAAAATACAGCTCCATCAACATCTGTGCAAATGACTAGAAATGTAAACTAAATTAAAATGATGGTGAGATTGCAAAGAAAAAAAAACACCAAGAAACAAAAAATGAAAAACAAAAATGCTTTACCCACAGGTTCAGAGTGGTAACATTTCCACTAGTATTTCAAATAATGACAGTTAAGCAATGATAGCTTACCAGCAGGGTTTTGGATTTAGAAAATATAAGCTGGAGACTATTAAACTGAATTCACTGTCAGTAGTTGCTATCAAAATAGCCTTTTGGGTGGGTGGTTTTCTCCCACCTGAGGCTCATCAACATTGTAGACATCAACAGTGGGTGCCCTACGGTGTTGAAACAGCCGGGTCATAAGTCCAAATGGAGCTGCATTTTGAACTGTGGGTGAGTCAGAAATATCCACTTCCTTTTCCATGACACCCTTTAAATCAGTGGGTCTAACTGATTCTCTTGATACCTTTGAATTTACCCCATTCATTCTTTATATCCTCTGACCGCCAATGAAAACTGATGTACAGACATACAAAACCAAAGAAAATGAGCTGATTTTAAGGAAGAAACTCAGAAATGTCACTTAGCGCCCAGATTGTAAAGCAAGGGTTATTAATTCTCAATGTGCTTTCAGTAGAGAACCCACTTTTTTCTCCAGAGACCCAGGGGCTAGCTCTCTTTTTCTCTTGCCTTCGGTCTCCCACCCAAGCACTAATCAGGCCCTTTTCTGCTTAGTGTCTGCGATCAGATGACAACAGGTGTGTTCAGGGGGGGTATGTGGCCCTTTGCCCTTCGATGATAGGTATCATTGTCTAATGATTTCCAGTTTCATGTTGTTCTGGGGAATATATTTATTGCCCTCATGTAGTTACCCCCTGGGTGCTTTCTGGGATGAGAACACACTGCCATGAACCATCTATTCACTTGCTGATTTCCCCGGTGGAAAATCGTTTCTCTTCACTCGACACAGTCTCAGCAACCTAGTGCAGGCTACACTCCAGTTGGTTCTGTACCCAACAAGCCACTAGGATCTAAGTGAGGAGGAGTTTAGGTTGAGGTCTCCCTCTCAGGCCGGTAGTAAAACAACAGCTGTGGCGGCACTTGAGCACTATGTTTTTAAACTCTGTAAGTTGGTGGGTTCTCCAACCCTGTGCTTTGAGGAAAGGAAACTAAGGCTGAACAGCAATTTAAGTCTCCAGGCAAAAACCTTCAGTGAAAGAGATTGTGTTGAGCTTTTTTCTTTAACATAACTAACTTTTGTTTTTTTAATGAAAAACAGTTGTGTTTATTTTTTTTAATGTTTGTAGGTATAGAATCACAGGCACCACCCCCCCATTACCAAAGCATTTTTCAGCCTGTGTCTTGGAGATATTCCAAGCCTTATAGTTCCTCCCTTCCCCTCTTATTTTAGCATCTGCCAAGATGACCTCCTCTCCAGAGTCAATTTCTACTCTGCTTTCTTTGTTTTTCTCTTTTGGTTACTCAAAACAAAACGAAAATGACTCTCTTCCTTAGCCATAAAATTCTATTCTATAACAATTATAGTTTTCTGCTAATAAGAAATAAATTAAGACAAGGTAGAAATAAGCCATAAGAAATCATGTATGTTTGCTTTTTTTCTTCTCTCCACAATAAAATATTTCCTTTTAAATAGCCCAACTCAGGATGGAAAACTTTCATGAATTTTTATATACAAGATAGATAAGAAAATGAATGATGATTGGATAAAGCAACAGGAAGAAGAGAAATGTCATCTTAACAAGAAGAGTTTGAAAATTCAAATATAGATTGTCTTCTACTACACATTATCCATTTGTCTGGCCTCCCCAATTGGCTTGCAAGCATTTAGGAGGCTGGATCATATCATCGTATATTTATTTTTATCCTGCCGTGTAAATGGAAGTGTAAGGGTATTGCTGGAACTCAAGATATTTTTTAAGCTACCACATACTGACACACTGTATTAGGCACGTTTTAAAAAGTATCTAGTTTAATCCTCAAAAAAGAGGAATTGTTTTACTGCACCAGCACATGTTTTCAGATGAGGAAACTGGGGGTGAGACAGGTTAAGTAACTTGCTTAGAATCCTGCCACAGTAATTAGAAAAGCTGACCCTCCATGCCTTATCACTCGGATTCCCAAAAACCTAAACTTTCAACCACTTTGCTGCACTGCATTCATTACAGGATAACCTCTCTCCCTCCTGACCTGCCAACCGTGGTGTTTCCACTGCTTTGTATATTTCTGGGATAATTTGATCCTTTATATCTGACCTCTTCAATCTTTGGCATTGTCTCAAGTTTCATTTGTGTTTGGATATAAAATCTTGGAAAGAAGAAGAGGCGGTTTTTTTGATGAGGGATTAGCACATGCATATATTAAGAGCTGATACATATTAAACCCTTACTGTGTGCCAGTGAGTGCCTTATTAACTCTTCAGTAAATAGGTGCTACCATGTCCCCCATTTTATAGATGAGGAAGCTGAGACACAAGGGCAGTTAGTTAATTTTGCCAAGGTCGCAGAGGTTGTAAGAGGCAGCAATTTCCTAACTTCAGGGACACTTTTCTTAACTGCAGGGGTGAAATGTCTGAAGCCAATGGAATTATGTTAATGAGAGAAGCTACTGGAACTTGGCCTACAAGTTCTTTGAGTTAAATGATAGAACTGTTTTTCACTTTTGTTATCCCGATATTTGCCAGCACAACCTTTCATCTGTTATTTTTTTTATTTTTTTAAAGATTTTATTTATTCATTTGAGACATGTATTTTAGCCCAGTAATCGGCTAAGGTGTTCTAATTAACAAGGACACATTCTTAGACGTGATCACCAGTGAATGAACACGTTCTATAAACTGTAGAAAGAAATAGTTAACACTAGTTAACCTCATGTAATTGGTTTTATCAGCAAAGTTATGACATTCCAAAGTGAATTGAATGAGAAATGGATAGGAAAAAGAATTATGTAGACATCTAATCTCTCACATCACTGTTTATCCCCTTTCTTTCTAAACCTTGTCTCCTCTCTTGCATTTTCCCTCTCTCCCTCCCTCTTTCACTTTTTTATCACTCTCTCTCTTCCTTTATTTTTTGTCTTATTCTTTTTTATTATTTGAGTGTAGGTGACACACAGTGTCCTATTTATTGCAGGAATACACGGTAGCTATTTGACGAGTTTAAACACTTGCTATGCTCACGGGTATGGCTATCATCTATCACCAAACATTGTTATTTATAATATATTGACTGTATTCTTTATGCTGTGCTTTTTATTTCCGTGATTTATTCATTTCATAACTGGAAATCTGTATCTTCCCCTCTCTTCACCCATTTTGCCTATCTCCCACACCCTTTGGCAACCATTAGTTTGTTCTCTATGTTTACAGGGCTGATTCTGCTTTTTGTTTGTTTATTCATTTTTTTTTGTAGATTCCACATATGAGTGAAATCATGTAGTATTTGTCTTTCTCAGTCTGACTTATTTCACTTAGTATAATACCCTCTGGGTCCATCCATGTTGTCACAGATGGCACAATCTCATCCTTTTTTAATGGCTGCATGATATTTCTGTGTGTGTGTGTGTGTGTGTGTGTGTGTACCCTATCTTCCTTATCTGTCCGTCTATCGATGGACTCTTAGGTTGCTTCTATATCTTGGCTATTGTAAATAATGCTTCCATAAACATAGGGGTGCATATATCCTTTCAAATTAATGTTTTCATTTTCTTTGGGTAAATACCCAGTAGTGGAATTATTGGATCTTATGGTAATTCTCTTTTTAAGTTTGTGAGGAACCTCCATATTGTTTTGCACAGTGGCTGTACCAATTTGCATTCCCACCAACAGCGTATGAGGGTTCCTTTTTTCCCCACATCCTCAACAACACTTGTTAGTTCTTGTCTTTTTTATTTTAGCCATCCTCACAGGTGTAAGGTAATATTTCATTGTGGTTTTGATTTTCATTTCGCTGATGATTAGTGATGTTGAGCATTTTATTATCATGTGTCTGTTGGCCATCTGGATGTCTTCTTTGGAAAAATGTCTATTCAGGTCCTCTACCCTTTTTTTTAATTGGCTTGTTTGTTTTTATGGTGTTGAGTTGTATAAATTCTCTATATATTTTGGATATTAACCCCTTATTGGACATACCATTTGCAAATATCTTCTCCCATTCAGTAGGTTGTCTTTCTGTTTTACTGATGGTTTCTTTCATTGTACAAAAGCTTTTTATTTTGATGTAGTCCTAATAGCTTATTTTTGCTTTTGTTTCCCTTGCTTTAGGATGTCGACATATCTAGAAAAATGTTGCTACAGCTGATGTCAAAGAAACGACTATCTCTTCTAGGATTTTTATGGTTTCAGGTCTCACATTTAGGTCTTTAACCCTTTTTGAGTCTATATTTGTATATGGTGTTAGAAAGTGGTCTGGTTTCATTCTTTTTCATGTAGCTGTCCAGTTTGCCCAGCACCATTTATTGAAGAGACTTTCTTTTCCTTGTATATTCTTGCCTCCTTTGTCATATATTAATTGACTATATAAGTGTGGGTTTATTTCTGGGCTCTATTCTGTTCCATTGATCTATGTGTATCTATTTTTGTGCCCATACCAAACTGTTTTTATTACTATAGCTTTGTAGTATATCATGAAATCTGGAATTGGGATACCTCCAGTTTTGTTCTTCTTTCTCCAGATTGCTTTGGTTATTTGGGATCTTTTGTGGTTCCATACAAATTTTAGTAGTATTTGTTCTAGTTTTATGAGAAATGTTGTTGGTATTTTGATAGGGATTGCATT